CACACCATCTAAGGAAGAGCACTGGTGAAACGGAAGAAAGTAGAGTGATATTCTCATAAAGCTGTTAATTTAATTGCAAAATATGAATCTCTGAATGATAAATGATGTGAAAAGGCATATTCCTTCAATAACCCCAAATTTCCATCAGATTTCTAGACTTAGCGGAAAAAGAGGCAATGAAGACTTTCTGACAGCATATTTTAGGGCCCAATCTTTCAGGAACACATCATATTTCTACTTAGATTTCTTAGTTGCATGCTTAATGTATCTACGTTTATGAATTTCAGGAAGCATAGTACGGACATTAGATTTTTCTATGTCATTTAAACACAAACCAGTCACTTAAACACATGATACATTCATATTGCGTCAGCTGTTGAGAGTAATTTTATCCTGCTGGTTGTGCCCAACTCTGGTTATAGCATCCTGATGACAGGAACTGAAATGCCTTCTCTCCTTCATTCAAAAGACCTTCTACAAAGCATCCAGAGTGGTCCAGGACACAACCCTGAAGCAGACATGGTTTCTGTCTTCAGGCAGTGGACAGTCTACTGAAGGAGACAGACCCATAAACAAGTGAGGCAACATGCCCAGGGTACCTGGAAGCACAGAGATATAATCGCCTACTGGGGAGAAGGCACGATGGAAAGTCTTTAACAGAGGCAGGAGTGGCTCCTGGCCAGGGGTGGGGTGAAGAGAAAGCCCAGGCTTCAAGGCACAAAGACAGAGTCCTTAACTCTGCTGGGAGCTGCTTCCTGGCTAAGTAAGCCGGGGAAGCAAGAGAACTCTCCCAGCCTTAATCTCCTTATCTGAAAAATGTGAGTAATACCATCTACAACACAGAATTATTGTGAAGCTAGAATGAGGGGATGTATGCAAAGCAGAATGCCTGGTATATAGTAGATGCTCAATAAATGTTTATTCTCTTTTCTTTTTCATCCCCTTGGAAAACCTGTGTGAACTAAAAGAATATAATAACCACAAGAGCTATGAAAATAGCAACAACAAATCCATACATGGTCAATATCACTTACTTTTATACAACAATCACTATCCTGAATGCTAACCATTATACAGAACAACCTTTCCTTCTCACCCCAATCAAACTTTCCATAACACACATATGAAATTAATCTTCAGAGAATAGAGATTTTATCATTTTGGGGCCTTGTTCAAAAAATTTTCAGTGACTATGCATTTATCTTGGCAAGATTTAATAAAAATTTTGGCTCCCAATCAGTTTTGATGAAGAAGAAAAAATATATTTATAAAGATGAGCATTTTTTTCCCCAGTGCCATTCACTTTGTCTGAAATAACTTACCTTCCCATCTGTAGCTATCAAATCCTAGCTCACATCCAGTCTCCATGGAGCTGCCCCAGACCATTCTCTCCCACCCTCTCCTGACCTCATTGCCTTGCTAACACCACACTCACCAGTGTACTGCTACTTTTGCTGGTATTTTTTTTAACTTTGTGTTACTTATTTCATAACTTCATCTTTCATTTTACCCCAATTGAATGGTAAGCTCTTTGAGACCAGAAACCACGTTAGAACTGAGCATAATCTTTTGCACACAGTTGATATTTATGTATTTGTTGGTTGGCGAGAATACATGAGACATTATGATAGAAAAAGTTAAGTCCTATTTCAGCATGAATAGCAGTTAGCACAATCTGACTTCTTTCAACATTAAAACAGAAGACATTTCTGAAAACTCAAACTCGAGATGAATTAAATAATTGGCATAACTTCTTCCTCTATGGAAGTTAATTTCATTGTGAAAAACATGTTGAGTAGCAATAGAATTGTATAAATAAACTATCTCAGAATTTAAGCAGGTACTTATAAACAGCCATATTAATAATAATAGTGATTACAGTTTAGTCAACAACTTACTTGACAAATTATTCAGAGTCCCTAATTTGTACAAGGAACCACACTAACTAAGATCCACTGGGAGAGGAGATGAATAAAAGACTGGCCAGGTCCTCAACACTCAACACTTTAATGGAGGAGACAGACTTGAAAACTTTTTACAAAACAACTTAAAGAAGCAATATGATATAACTAACCTACTGAGTACTGTGTGTGATTAATTTTAATTGGGAGGCCTCAGGAACCACCTGTTCCCCTCCAACCCCTCCAAAAAAAAAAAAATAGAGAGAGAGAGAGAGAATGAAGATAACATTTGAATAAGACCTGGAGAGAGAACTGTGACTGTAGACCAACATGGCGGAAGGGGGTTCTGGGCTATATGATCAGAAAGAACAAAAGTTATAGATATGAAAATGTACCTTCACCCCATTTTTGCTTCTCTCAGTAGATGATCTAACTTGCTACTTCATGGGAAAAATAAAAGGCCATTCCTCTCTTCCAATTCAAAACTGTCTCAGTCTTTCCCTCCTATCTTAAAAATCTCCCTCATTCTTTCCCAAAACTAATTTCTCCAAATCGTTTTGGATCCTCTTGGTGCTTGTCTACGATCACATCTTGTTCTAGCACTTACCCGCCTCTCTCCTTCCTTTCATGACCAAATTTTTGAAAGAATGGTCTATACTTGTTATCTCTACTTCAGCTTTAATGCACTATTCAGTTACATAAGGTTAACTGCCTCTTAAATCTCTTTTATTCAGTAAAATAAAATGAAGTAAGGATTTACTTTCTGATTTCCTCCTTCCTTTGTTTTAAAATTTCTTTAAAAATTTATTTGCTATCTTCAGGGAACAGAAATGTATAGCCTCTGAATAGGATTTCTCATGTCCAGATAGTAAACTATCAAGCAGCTGAGACTCCGCGGAAGCATTTTCAATGAAGAAGCTGTTATCGCAGTGATGGATGAGAATTCTGAACCTTCAACACACTGTTCTCTCACTGTATCGTTCCCTAACTCAGAGCTCTTTACAATTCTTCAGATGAGAACAGGTAGGGTAAACAATTCATCTTCAGCAACAGAAAAGAGGTATTTTTAAGGAAATTATTTCATACAAGCCAGGTCCTTAATCTTTTTCAGAAGATCGGGTAAGGTAAGACTGGGTATCTCGACACCTGCTGACACACCTAGAGAAGCATCTCAGTCCAGTCCCTGGTTTATGTTTCGATTGCCTGGCAGTTTCATTTACTAAAGGCACAATGGCTAAGATGGCTTCTCCTCTTATATACAATAAATAGCCAGAACTCTCCAGAACTTACTTTGTTCACCTGGTCTGCCTTCAAGTTCATCAGGACCCATTTAACCACCTATACTGATTTCAAAAATGCAAAGAATCACCTATGTGCTTTATACACATTAAGTCTTTTCGCGGACAGTGAGTATTATACACACTATGTGTGAACTCCTGGGCAATACATGATCTCAGCTCATCTTTTCCGATTTTTCCTTTGTAATGAAACTGCAGTTCATTGAACAATCCAATTACCTCCCTTTCACTTTTAAAAATAAATTTTTCCTACATGCATTCTACTTGTTAAAAACGGTTCTCCTTCAAGTAGACAGAGTTCTGTATCATGACCTTCTCTTCTGTCCTCCTAAGGAACAGGGTTTACAGGCCTCCTGAATGCATTGGAGCTTCTAGGAATTCCATAAATATTTGTCAAAGGGCTGATCTATACGTAACGATATTGTTAAAATTTCCATAAAGATCACCAAATGAATGTTTTGACTACTGAGCAAATGGAACATGTCAGGCCCACCTCTTCAGACCCCTCAGAGGGGTCAGGTCAAGGCTACAATGGAGACCCATATTCCATGTGTCTAAATATTTAGAAGTGATACACCAAGTTAAACTATTAAATATGGTCTCTACCTCCAATCTCAACAAATATACCTTCAACCACCTGGAGGTACAGGTACAAATTTAGAATTTTTAGACTCCTTCAAGTTCCAGAGCACAGCATGGTGACATGGAAGGGCCAGGCCACACCCCTCTCTCCCTATTCCCCAGTACCAGGGACACCTTGATGGGCCTTGAGCACCTGTGTGGACATCCTACCCACCTCAAACCACTGCCCCTTGGCCACCCTCCAGGCTATGGGTACATTTTCCAGTTTTATCCTCCTCAGGACATGCCTAGGGATAAGGCCCATGTAGGCCCTAGAAGCAGGCCCTAAGCTGTTTTCAGGAAGGAAATTCCAGAGCTGGGAGCCCAGAGCATGAGGGTGGGTGAAGTGAGGGCTTAGGCTGGGCACATGCTCTTGGCCCCTCAGATCTGCATCCTGTGGAAAGGTGTGGCCAGAGGAGAGTCCTCTAATTCCCGAGTGCCAGAGCAGGGCCTCTGTTGCCCACGACTAAAGGCGATACTGGGTAATTTACCAAAATGGAGTATTTACCACATCAACCTCCTTATTAGTTAATATGCTAGTTGAACATAAATACATGAAAACCCCTGAAATTCCAATCTCTGATCACCTCAGTTCCCTCAAGATCTATAACCCAAGGGTCTAATATTTATGTGGATCTACCTGACAGTCGAGATTCTGTGCTTGCTTAACAAACTCATATGAATTTACAGAATTCTACTCTCATGCTAGAGGGAGTTAAGAAGACAGCGAGGAGCAGGAGAAAGAGGAAGGAGGGCAACATCAAGTATCAAAGACAAGAGCAGACATGCGGGTCCAGAAGAGACATTTCCCTTGCGTTCTGTCACTTGTGTGGGGAAGCAGATGACGCCATGGTTAAACATCTGATTAGGGCTTGCTCTCGCTAACACACACATTCATGTAGTACACTCGATGGCCTTGTGACACCCCTATTCCAGCCACTGTGTACGTGTAAGTCAAGCTAAATCTTGTCAGCATTTAAGTTGAGGCTGATGACAGCTCTCCCTGCCCCTCACCATCATTTATTTGCTGCACTGCAATTTCCACTTTACTTAGCAAGAAAATCAACTTGTTAATTTGAAAAAAAAAAAGACTAATAAAGAATTCTCATCACAATATACATATACATACTCCACAGGAAGGGAAGTATTTCAACTGGAAATCTTATTTACATGTACTTACTGAGATTGTACCATTGTCTAGACCTATGGACAGTCTTCTTGTTTCCGGGTTAAAAGACATGCATGAACATGGAGCTGAAAGAAATGAACATGTTGATGAAATTAACAAAACGATGATTCTCATGGATTCAGGAGTGACTAACTAGCTAAAAGTGTATGGCTATTTCTTTTTCCCACTATTTCCTGAAAAACTGTTCATTTAACTCCCACTTGCCAAAAAATAAAAACAGTGATTTTACAATCAACCCCTAGTTTTTCAGTTACCCTTTTAATGAATGGAACAAATAAGACATTCTCAAACTGGACAAGTTCCAAGGGGCGTGGTCTCGGCTGTTCTGTCAGGATCAAGTCTAAATTTGCTTCACTAGATTAACAATATTTTGTGCTATGGAATCCTTCTGTCACCAATCTCCCTCTTCTACACAGACCACATCCTTAATGGAAATAACCCCTTTTCTGAACTAGGGAAACAAAAGGAAGATCTTATCATCCCCTATTCTCCCATCCCCAAGTATAGAAATACACTTTTTTTATTCAAAAAAAGCGACTTGGGGCGTATAGACTAACAGAAGTCTTTCACTCTCAGTAATTCAAGGGATATGCTGGAGGCTGCCAGTTGGAAAAAGAAGGAGGATTTGTCTCAATCTAAAAGAGAGCCAACTTGACACACGGCCAGGCTCCAGAGGAAAGAAATCAGGTGAGTCAGTCTGCCCAGTCCTGGACAGGGCCTCCCTGTTCTGCAGGACTGACTGCTACCTGACCATTACAAGCCTGAGGGAAACATGCTTGGAAGCCACGTGTGGCCAAAAAGTGCTTGCTGAACAGTCAAATTCCAGTTCCCAGTCTTCTCTACCTATGCTTGCTCGTAAGAATGGGGGCCTTCTAGCAACTTATTCTATACTGAAATAGTGTTCTAAAGAGCCCAATATAATTTTTAAATTTCTCCCCGCATTCTCACTGTCGCCCTCTAGGTCATGAACTACCCACCATCATAATCACAATCAGCATCAAATATTTCATTCTTACTTCTCCCAGTTATGATTAGATGTCTTACCCAAGGTCACCCAGGAAAAAAAAAGTTGGTGAAGGTTCAAAGACAATTCATACACACAGTCCTATTTTCAAATACCCAGCTTAGATTATCTTTGAACTATAAACTGCAAGTTCTACTAACAGAGCCACTTCATAAACACATTACTTGGTAACAATTTTTTCATCCTCTATAAAAGGGTCCTGAACAACAACAAATCTTCTAAACTGCATAAAGTACTTTTTTCTAATTTTCAATTGTGATATTAGAAAATAGAACCCCTCCTCCGACCACCACCACCAACTTCCACCAGTAAAGCAGAACATCTTCTTTTGGTTTAGCCGCAAATTTAAACTAGATTTCCAATAGGGGGAGGGTACATACAGCTCAGCGGTAGAGCGGACGCTTAGCGTGTACAAGGTCCTGGGTTCAGTACCCAGTACCTCTAGTAAAAAAATAATAATAAGTAAATAAACCTAGTCATCTCTCCAACCCCCCAAAATAAATAAATAAACTAGATTTCCAAAAGAACACTGCTGGAAAAAAAGCAATCAAGTGATATTTAATGCACTGCCCGAAGAAAGCCAGTCTTACTCGCCTTTGGCCTTATAAACTATGCTGGCAAAATTTCTACACAGATGCTAAGGTGCCAGATCTCATAATCCTATAACATGTGTGCAGGATTAAAATTTAATGATTTCATGGAAAACTATCATGTTAGCTGAAAAAAGGAAAAGAAAAAAATACACTGATGATAACTATATAAAGTATGCACTCACATAAAAATGGAAAAACAACACAGTTCTTGTGTTCGAGTCACAAAATTACTTCTATAACATTGTCTTTATTTATTATTTTTCTATTCCCGTTAAAATTTCTAAATACCTAACAACTTATTAAGATATGCACATGAGCATGAGGCAGAACTTGATTTTAGCCCAAACGGCTATACACAAGTGAAAAATAACCTTATCACTTAGCTGCCTTCCTGATTATAAAAAGTATTTGCTGTGTGATTTACTAAGTTCATATCTGGTTATGTAATAACTAGAATATTCACTGATCTTTGAATGTGACTTAAAAGACTTTTTTTACAATACAGCACAAGCGACCCTTAAATCTACATTGTTATTTCCTTCTTATCTTTCCTCCATTTACTAAATTGCTTGTTATTCTTTAACAAAAATTTAGAACGCTAATTATGTTCAAGGCAGGTGATGCAATGATATATAAAGTACTATAGCTGTCATCAAGGAATTTATAGATTGTGACACCAACTATACGTGGGAACTATAAAGACTTGTCCCCGATGTTACCTCATTGGTTCATACCACTTCATACTGATGGCAGGAAACACTAGAAAGCAAAAGGAAAGACCTTTCCTATAAAGGACCATAAAGGAAGTTTTAACAGAAATTCTGTTGTTGCAGGACCCATATGCTTGAACCCAAGATGGCTGTAGACAGCAGACTGACAGACCCAGAGAGCATTACCTTCCTGGTGCCCCCAAAGGTGCAAACACCCCTTTGAAGAGGCATTATGGTAAAACACCAAGCCACCGTGTGTGTGTGTGTGTGTGCGCGCGCGCGCATGCCTGCGCGTACATAGACTTTTGGTGGGTGAAACTTATGTTCCCCAAGCCATTTCCCAACTGTGACGCTCCCATAGGAAGAGGCCTGGGTTGGTTACCCATAGGCCCTCCAGGGCCAAGCAGGAAAGGAATGAACTGAAAGAAATACTGACACCCATATTTGTTCTTACAGTAAATGTCTTTCCTTTTGGGGGTTGGAGAAATAGATACATAGACACAGGGATCCTGCTACTAAAACTCACCAGAAATTAATTTTAAAAAAGCAACCTCTGAAAGTCTAGCGCTGTGGCCCATACAAAATAAGCTCCTGTCCGTCCACGCGAGAAACTAGCAAAGGGCAAAACTGTCTGGGGAAGGATAATAAAACACAGTAAAGTAATGGTAATTATGGCCAAATGGTAAAGGGACTCCTTCAGAAAGAAGAATAAGAGAGGAAACAAGCAATATAGGACTTAAACACAATATCTGTAGCCAGGATGCAAAAATTGGATGCTTCCCTAATAGAATTCAGCTGTAAATGCTCTAACACTAGTAATTCATTAGTCGATAAAGAAACACTTGGGTCTCTCTGGTGGCTGAAAGTTCAGGTCAGAGATGAACTGGCTGACTGCCGTGTTTGGAATGACCTTAAAAGGCACTCCAAAAGCTGAGCCACGTGGCTGAGCAGGACTCCAAACCACAGTGCAGCTCCCCTCAACTGACTTGCTCTGTGAAGCTGCATCCCTGAACTCTGGATGCAATTCATCTAGAAATTTCATCTAGAAATAAGAGAAGAACTCTCATCCTCCATGCTGTCTGATCAGGATTTGCCACCTCCCTTCTCTGTCTCAGCCCGATGACGGTAAACAAGAAGCATATTTGGCGAAATCTTAGGAAGCAAGAATGAAAAGTACAAATCAGATAGAAAATAAATTTGTGGAGGTCTATGGGTAATGAGAAACAATATTGTCTTATATTGGTGTCGGGACTTTAGACTCTGATGACCTGTCAAAATCTTATCTTTAAATACTTTCATAATATTGAATGTTTTTAAAAAAGAAATCTTTGTAGTTTGAGGCAGGTACACAACCTAAAGTTTAGGAAGAATGAAAATAAAGAGAAACCCCAGTCTAGGTGATTCTATTAATGACCATATAATTTGAAGGGGGAAAAGCTCAGGATATGAGCCCTGGGCAAAGGGAACTCCAGACACCTATACCAATTTCAGCCGAGTCCAAAATTAAGTGGATTAGAGAGAAACTGGCTACTTGTATTTCTAATATGTTCATCCCACAGGTGATCTAAGAAAAAATATTGCTCTTCCTTTTTTAAAAAAAAATCTGAGTTGAGAGGAGGCATTTTCAAAATACTTCTATTTGGCGGAAAGTTTCCCAATTTCTATCATTTATACCTATAATTCTTTCATTTTATGACAAATTTATTTCCTGTCCTTTGCTGATAGGCTGAACTTTGCTCAAATAAGCACAAGTTTCCTTGCAGGTTGAGCTGTGGATTTCAATCACACTGACAGCTTTACAATGCTAAAGGCATTATTTGGCAGGAGACACTAATCTTCATGGGATGTGCTGGTGGGAACTTTAAATAAGCAATGGTACTTCTGTGAATAAAACTTTAAATGTTCAAGGCATCTTGGTGATGTTACATGTTCAGGATCCTATGATAAGAGGGCCTTGATTAGAAAGGCTTTCAAAGAGCACCCCGCCACCGCAAAGTAAAGATTAAATTCATGGACACAATCTTGTTCCACTGTTTGTCATAAGATAATATTTATTAGGTCTACAATACTCAGCCCATGTTTTACTTTATTAAAAATACTTATATTTAGGACTTCAATTTCCTAGCATAAAAAGGCACCTTTCACTTAAATCAAATATTTTATACACTAAACTAAAATTAACCATTTATTTTCTTTTCATTTAGTCTGAGTAACATCAGCAAAGCTACAGTGAATTAGCATTGGTCTCTTTTCTCCCAGTTAAGTTTTAAATTACAGGAAAGTGATCTAACTACCGTAAGTTTTAAATTACTCTGACAGATGAAAATCAAATAAGAGTATGCTAAATAAATGCTATAATTATTCAGATTCATTAATATCTGTTATCTTTAATTTGGTTAATCTATGTTTTCCCTTCATTTCTGTTAAAAATCAAAGTTCCTTGGGCACCTTTTCTTCTTAGTAAACAGAAATAAAAGACCAGATTACATTACTATTATTGAAAATGTAAATAGTGAAAACAATAGATTATTTTGAACATGTGGTTTTATTATATAACTCATACCAAAAAGAAACCAGCAAAGGAGCAATACACTTCACAGCTAGGAACCAAGAAGTTATTTGAAATTAGATGTAAGTCAAACAACAGGATGAGTACTTCCCAATTACACACATATTCTCTCACTGCCAAGAATCTCCCTCAACTGAGTTAAAGATATTGTCTAAAAGTTACCAAAACA